TGGGGAGGGCAGTAAAACCTCAGTCAGCACACTTTGGAAAGACCCTAAGCAATACAGAGAGGGCCAGAGAGTCCCCAGAAAGAAACCAGAAACATGATAAGACACAGAAATTAAAAAAAAAAAAAACTCCAGCCTCTGACCCTGGTAAAATCAGCCCAGGAGAGGTAAATACAGAAGAGTACCAGTGCAGTAATCATGCAATATCAGATACAGCATCAGCAGACATAAAGAAATACTTTCATGACCTCATAGACGAATTTAAAACTGTACTTCTGATACAAGTGAGGCAAGATATAAAAAGATTAATTAAAGAAATGATAAGCCCCTCCCAAGAGAACACAGATGTAAGAACAGAAGAACTCAGAAAAGGAAGAGAAACCTTTGATGAAGAATATAAACAAAATCTAGAGTACATGAAACAGATCCAAAGAGATTACCAGGAAACTAAAAATTTCATTGAAAGCTGGCAAAATGCCTTGACAGAAACTAAAGTTAGTCTTTTGAAACTTGAAGAGAGATTTATGGTGTGTGATCGTGAAAGAAAAGATCTCTTAAAAATAACAAGGAACCAGGAAGAAATAATTCAAAGGCTAGAAGAGACAAGAGAATTGATAACTTAAGAATAAAAAACATGAGCAAAGAAGCAGGAGTAAGTACAAATGAACTACAAAGACAATTCACAGATATAATTAAGGAAAACTTCCCAAGCATAGGAAAAAGAAATGATATCCAGATAAAAGAGGCATACAGATCTCCAGCCACCTACAATCAAACAGATCTACACCCAGACATATAATAATCAAGATTCCAGAAATCCACCACAAGAACAGAATGTTAAAAGCAGTGAGAGAAAAGAAGCAGATTACCTACAATGGAAAAATTATCAAAATAAAACCAGACTTATCAACAGAAACTCTCAAATCGAGAAGAGCCTGGGGGGAAATAGTCCAAGCCCTGAAAGACAATAACCTCCAACCAAGACTCATGTACCTGGAAAAATTCTCTCTCAAAATTAATGGAGAAACAAGATATTTCCAAGACAAGGGAGGAACTGTGGGAGTTCATGGCCACCAACCCAACCCTACAAAAAATACTGAAGGACATTCCAGAGAGAGAGGGGAAAAAAATACCAGGATTCCAGCAACAGTGACATTGGGGCTTCAATGAATGGGACAGACAGTGGAATGAAGGAGTAAAGTGGACAAATAATAGAAGAATAAAATAGAAAATATGAGGCAGAGACAGTAAGCTATAATCTTTAACATAGATAGCCCTGATATACTAACAAAAAAAGAAACACAGGCAGAGTAGGAGGCAGTATCCATCGAGATGCTCTGAATAGGAGATACACTCAACCTGAAAGAGGGTTAATAAACTGAGAGTCAAAGATGAGAAAACCATGCTATATGTGACAGGAAACCAGAGAGAAATAGGGACAACTTGTCCAGCAGCCGCAGATAGATTGGAAAGCTATGACTCTTTTGGGCAGTCTAGAACTACACAGCTGGAAGGAAGGAAAACCTTGTGACTTTAGTAAGTAAAGGAGTACAGCTCAACATCAAGTTCAGGGGTAAAAAGGTTTAGCAACACTCAGATAGATAACAGGTTAGCCTCCTAATCTAAAAACTAAAAGAGCTAGTGGGACCCAAAATGTACAAAGCATCCTGGGAAAGGGAAAAGGGAAGAATTGTCTAAAAAAGGAGGGCAGAGGACATTGTTTATAGTGTACCAGGATTTAAAAATCACAGTTGTCTTATCGCTGTTTAGTTTGATTATATTTTGTTCCGATTTGACTACTAATATTAGATTTGAGGGCATAGATAGCTAACCCCAAAATAGTAGGTTATACCATGGTAACTATCCTTAATTTCCTAGGAACTTAAACTGAAGCCTTGTATTACTTACATTTTCTTACTATGACTGATCTTATTTGAAGCTGGTTTGATAGACTGCTATTTTGCCTTGATTGATTTTATTCGAATTTGGTATGCTTGATAGTATCAAGTCTAAGAGTAGAGGCAACTACTCTGAAGATGACAAGATCTAAAGGTATCCATTCAGATTTTGATTATTACTGCTTTCCAGTCCTACAATGTCTTCAAAGTTGTGTTTTTGTTAAAATAGCTATGTAATGTTATGTTCAATTACATTATGCCTGATGATGTGGACAATTCTATTGAAAATAACGAGAGAAAACATAGTAATTACTGTAGACCACCTAATATTGTGGTCTTATATGTGTTTCTCATTTCACGTTTTTCTAGGAATTTATTTTGTTGTCTTGTTTTGATCTGTTTTTCCCTGTAATACAGAAAGGATAGATATACATGTAGAGATTCACACATGGGAAGAATTTCTAAACTATTTACGGGAATAGAGTATATAATACACAATATAATGAACAGATACTCTGAAAAAGAAGAGACACTAAGAAACCCAATGCTAATTCTGTAGCATTATGATACAAAATTTAGCAATACTATCATTCACTGTTTAGAGTGATATTAGTTAGTCTCTTATGTTCAATTTCAGTGTACATAAAGATAAGGACAGCTGCTATGAAGAGAATGAGGGACATTATGGCAGTCACTATCGACTCCCAATGTCAGCTCTTGAAGACCTAAAACACCTTCATCATCCTGTAATGATTTGATTAGTTCTATAATGTTCAGTATATATTCAATGTGTGTGAATATGGGGACAACTATTTGGAAGAAAACTAGAGAAAATAAGATAGGCAGTGAAGATCTCCAGTGGATTTGCTTTGAAATCTGTGTTTCTTTAAATTGTTTCCTTATAAACTGTTTCGTTCTGTTTAATCTTACCCTCTTTAAGATAAAAAACAAGTGTGTAGGGCTGAGAACCATATTACTAAGTTCTTGTTGGATTGTTGAGCAGAACTGTTTGCAGTGTCATTATTTAAATATCACTTTGTATACTTTAATTTTGTAACTCGAGCAACTATTTCTAAGATGATGGTATGTAATTTATCGACGTGATTTCCTATTGTTTATTTTTCTGAAATTCTATATTGTTTCTACCCTTTTTCTTTGTTTTTTTTTCTTTCTCTTTAAATAAAAACAAGAATTATATATAGTGTACATGTTACAATATTCAGAACAATGAAATGGCCAAAAGAAATTGCAACTTGGTGATGTTGCTTTTATTTACATAAGTTAAATATAGTATTGTAATGTATAACAGAGCATAAAACTAGTACTGTACAGTATAGCAAGATCAGCAAAAATTACAGTATTGTATCAACAAGGCGTACTGCACCAAAAGAAAAAAAAAAAGACATTGAGGCTCCATCAACAAGAGGAACAGAACTGTACAAAAAAAAAAAAAAAAGAATTGGGCTGTAAATCCGAACAGCAGGTTTTAAGTCCAAACAGAATACCTGACCTTTAAGTCCAAGAGTCATTAAATGGGAAATTCCTGTAAATAAAAATAGTATTAGAAATTAGAAAGCAAAATTTAAGGGTACAAGTCAATAAAAAAATGATAGTAAGAGAGTGCAACATAGTTCCGGCTTCTGAACGAGGGAAAAACAAGTCAGGATACAGATTTATGCAAATAGCATCATTAATAAGACAGTCCCAATAGGTATGTATTCAGCTTTAGTTATTTCACATTTTGCAACTTTCTTTTCATTGCAACTTCGTGCAACTTTCTTTTCATGCAACTTTCTTTCATTCAGTGATAAAACTGACCATATATTTATCCAAAAAAATAACCATGGTACAATTGTAAAAATAGAATGTGAATGATATTTTTTTTTATTTGTGAAAGTTCTTACTAGATTGATATGGTGCACCTTCATATACATTACTTTTATTTGGTAGTACAAATGATTTAAATTATTTTTATTTTGGCATATCCATGGATACATAAAAATATATGAATTACTCAAAATTTTAAATATAAAACAAGGCATAAAGAGAGCCTCTTATGTCTTGTTTTATCTTTAAAATTAAATAGAATGACTTGGATCTCTTTTTTTCCCAAGCCTTCATGTTTTTCTGCTCTTTGGGATTCAGACCCAAAGATTTGAGAAAAATTGTGATGATTTTTTTTCACAGTTCAATAAAAGCTGTCTGCAGTAATTAAATCCTCATTAAGGTAGGGTTAAACAATGTAAGGTATCATCCTTTTCTCTATCTTTTGCACGAAAAAATTAAAGCATGTTGGCCTATTCTAAGCTCAGAAGTGTTTTGCTTATGATGGGATGTAAAGCCAAGACTTCAGAGAAAGATTTTTGGAAAGTGAACAGGTCCTTATTTTTGTCAAAACAAAGAACACAACCTATTTTGCTGCATTGGGAGTTTCTCTGTATAAGGACTGTGTGTTACTATTTTTATACCCTGAGTATTCAGCTGAAAACTTGGCCTATATTTGGTACTTATTGAATGCTTATTGGATACATAAAATAAGCCTCCTCTCACCTCTTGCGGCTAAGAAGAATCTAAGTATGTTAGACTTTCCCTCTTTTATTGTAGCTTATCATCAGTACTCAGGACAACAGTCAGAACATCTCTATTCACATGCAAAGTCATTGTATTCCCAAATGCTCTACTTTGGCCTGAGCTATGGCTAGAATTGTCTCTCCCATCAGTGTTCATAAATTTCTTATTTATGGCTTTCGCCTGTAGCAGCTTTCAAACATAATTTAACAATCCCCCCGCCCCTTTTTAAAATCTTTGCCTGTTTTGTTTCTTCCAAGTATGAGGAAAATTCAGCAGGGAAAAGAGTGAAAGGACCAGCAATGAGTTTTAAAAAATGATGCATTCCATTCATCAGTCTCTAAGGGTTTTCTGCTACCTATCTCTAAATAGTGTATTTTCTCCTATGGGCAAGACCAACAGCTTAATGCATGGGGGTGTGGTCAGCTGGCTTTTAGCATGAGTGGAGGTAAAGACTGAAAAGAAGGGACATTCTTTAAAAACAGGTACTGAGAAAACTGTCTACTATTAACTAAATTCAAAAGACCATTCATAAGAAAGTTCAAGATTTATTTATTAAGAAATATATAGTATCTATGACAAACCAGGACTTCCACTTTCAAAAGTGTTCACAAAATAAATTAAAAATACATTATATAAAAATTTAAAAATACATATACACAAAGATTGAAGCTGCAACAAAGATACTTCTTCAGGATTGGCTTTCATGTTCAGTCTTGACTATTAGGTAATGTTTAACACTTGGTTGAGAATGCTTTCACAAAATTTGCTGGCAATTTCTTTCAAACTGAAATTTTTGTACACTCTCTTTTGCTTTTATTTTCTTCTTTTACAATTTTATGGTATGAGAACATGAGAAGGATCATTACATGTAAAAGAAATGCCTGCCTGTGACAATTTAAAGACTATATTAGGAGTTATTCTTTCATTACAAAAGGTTTTAACTTATTTTTGTAAATTATTATTGTTCAATGTAACTTTTTTAAATACAGGGTATCACAGATTTAACATTTTATCTACTTAATATATATGATTTATTTTAGTGCTATACAATATGATGCTAATGAAGAGAGTTTCATTTTCCTAAATGTCGGTTGAAAAAATCCCACCATCCTTTTATTTGTGAAGTTTGCTCCCAGCAGTTACGGATGACTTTTTGCTGCTTTTTCTGGGTACGATTTATCTGTTGAATAGGAGAATCAATAGTTAAAAAATTAATTTTCACTGAGTGATGGGTTAAGTCATCTCAACGCAAATCTCTTAATGTGCAAAGCAGGTGTGTACTTTATCATTGCATTTGCTTTCTTTAAAGAACACCCTCCTGTATCTCCATCCACATATCCTCTGCTGCAAGGCCAAGCACCACCTCCTCCACAAAAGCCTCTGTTAATTGCTTAGATCTTTTATTTTGAAACTCTTCTAGTACTTAAGATTAATGTGTCATTTCACTTGGCTTTCACTTACTGTTCCTATTATTGCATCATGGGTATTTCCCTTGGCAGCAATTATACTGTCTTATGCAGAAGGAAGCCCTGGATTTTATTGCAGGATTAAGAGAACAAATGAGTTTACAATCTTATGATCTCCCTGATAAGTTCCCAAAGAGCAGGACCTATTTTATCCGTCTTTAATAGATATACTAACAATGAACATAGGCTATTATTTGAAACTGCAGTGCTCCTACTCCTTGTCCTCATGCCCAATTTTATGTGTGACACTAGAAGGCTCTTTCTGAAGAGATTTTCATCTATTCCTTCAGTTGAATTACCCTTGCACACTGATAAACTGAGCCTTCTTTGCACACAGTAGTTAGACTGTTAAGGACCCTGTGGGTTAAAAGTCAGTAACCCGTGTTAAAATCTGCTAAATCACAATTTGTTTTGTGACTTCCCCTTTGTGCTGAGGGCAGAGGAAGGATGAAGTAAGTTTCTTCACATTCCCTCTTTTCCATCTACGGCACAAACCTGTGCTCTGCATTGCCCTTATCTAGATGAATTTTACTATGGCCATCTGTAGATTTTGTCAGAGTCTCCTCGAAAAAGATGCATACATAAGAGTCAAACGGATTTCTCACATGACTGCTGCTTCCTAACCTGACTGAACTCTATGGATTCAGCACTCAAGTCCTAAGAAGCCACATTCACGAATGCCTGGACGCTCAGATCACAAATGACTAAGGTTTGCTCCATCAATAAGCAGCAATCCCAATTATCTGCACTTGTCTATCTCTGCTTTTCTTAAACTAGTCATCAGGAAGAGAAAGTTTCTGTCTTACTTGGCAACTGAAATACTTACAGATTACTTATTATATACCAGGCACCGTTTCAAGTGTTTTCACATGTGTTGACTCATTTTGTGCTCATAAATATCTTATGTTGAACTTACAAATATATTTATTTTTCTGGGGCACACAGAGACTAAATAGTTTATTCAAAGTCTCCAGAGAAGTTACACACCAGAAATTCAAAGTCAAGACTGCTCTCTCTAGAATTCCCACCCTTAACTCTTCACTGTACTACCTCCATTTTAAAAGTAACGTATTCATTCAATGCATGCAACTGCACGTGCAAAAATTTACTGAGTAAGGAGAGCACAGTTCCACCCATTTGAGCAATTAAACAAACAGGGTAGAGACTGCATGTATAATGCAACACTTTAAACAGCATCATATAATTATGAATGATAAACCCAAGCGGTATTGCTAAACTTTAGAATGGACCTGTTAAGAATATATTAAGACTCTCTTAAGGAGCCACATAACTAGAATTTTATTTTATTTTATTTTATTTACTTGTAAGGTTTAGATTGGGTGTCTGGAAAATGGCATCTTGAACAGTCATCACAATGTGGGGTAGCAGCTAGGATTATCTGGCGTGAGAGATTCACTGATCCCACTTTAAAACACTGATCGAAGGTTTTAGAGTCTTAATGCAGCCAAAACTAAATCAGAAACTAAGAAATAGGTTGAACTGGGCACAAATGTCAATTAACATTAATTAACAACCTGCAGCTTTTACCCGACTCCCTTGTTCTTCAAAAAATCAAATCTTGAATAAAAAGCACAGCAGAGCTTCTACACTAACGCTCCTGTTTAACTCAAGGTTGGTCTCACAGTGCTGCACGCCCAGGCGTGCTGCGCGCCAGGCTTACCTGAATCTTGAAGTAGCCTGGGCAATGGCGAGCGAAGGTAGCCTTAGTCGTCAAGGCAAAACGCTCCCGGGAGAGTGACGGGCAGACGGTGGAGCTGAAGGTGTGGCGCTCGATTTTGGTGAGGCAATCCGACTGCGCCCACGCGGCGGTGACGTTTAGGAGGACAGGAGAAAAGCCAGGAGGGGGTGGGGTGCCAGCGTCAGTAAGAGCGGGGCGAAAGTGACCGCGGGGAGGAGGCCGAGGGCGCAGCGGGAGCTGGACCGAGCGGTCCCCGGGGCCAGACGTCACGGGGCGGGGAGGCCACCGGAGCCGCCCCGCGGGGAGGGGGCCGCGGGCCGGGGCGCAGCGCCCGCCTGGGACAGACAGACAGACCGCCTTGGGACAGGCCCGCGCCCGCCGCGCGCCGGGGCCCATGGGGGGGCGCCAGGAACCGGCGCCAGGACGCGGGCGCACGGAGCAGGACCCGGGGCTCAGGAGGTTCCCTGCTCCCGGTTTCCAATTTGCCTTTTCAGCGGCCCGGAGCGGTGGCGCGAGGTGGAGGGAAGAAGGGACAGCCTCTCACATCCCGCCCTCCCCGCACGGTCCTCGCTCTCTGAATTGGACAAAAGTGGAACCCACGTCCTAAGCTGGGCGCAGCGATCGCCTGGGGCTCAACACCCCCCCCCCCAAAAAAAAAAAAAACCCCAACAATCCTGCTGACCACTCTACTCACTGAGTTGTAACAGGCGACATGGTTGAGCTCCTCGCTTTCGGTCTGCAAAGGAGAAAACAAAAATTGGACAAGAGGGTTACAGATTTTAAGTCCACGACGAAGAATGATTCCTTAGCTCCTTACTCCCAGGACTTAAAAATGTTCCAAAGCGATTTCCACTCAAAAACTTATTTCCTGTGTCACTGACAAGGCCACGCAAATCTTCAGATGGTTTTGACGTGGGTTTAGAATGAGGCATCCAGCGTTGCTGGTCTCAGGGAAAGTGCCCTCAACATAAAGGTGTGGCGCTCTGTCTCCCGGCAGAGACATCTGGACACAGCACAACCACTTGGGCATTAACATCACCGTTCTCAGGATGTCCAAGTCTGCCCTGTAGATGTTCACACTTTCCACACACACTCTATCCAGAAGTTCAGATTATCAGGAAATACATATTAAAACTCAAAGTGTACCAGCTTCTATAATAGCATCCCAGACACCCTGAAGCACAGTCTCATGCCTTAGCTGGCCTCACTCCTTAGCACTTATCTCACCAGAATTCCTTCTCTTTGCTCTTTCCCAAGCCCTCATCTGCTCCCTTTACTGCAAAATTAGAGCAATATTTTATCAGGAGGTATATATTCTGTGAATGCACCATGCAACCTATCACAGTAACTGTATCTCATCAACTTTTACAGAAGATGCCAATTTCTGGATAGTTATTTTGCATGTCAATAGATTTGGATATCACTTGTGAAAATTTTTGGTGACATAATTTTTTTCCAAATTATTTTTCTTTCCTGGAAAGTTAAACTATAGTTGGTGTATATATATATATGGATTCCTTTTTGACGAGGATATACTTGTTTAAAAAATGTTTCCTCACTTACCTTATTCATATAGTCATACAGGTTAGGAAAAATAATGTTTTCATAGTCCTTTTGAATCTTCTCGAAGTCACAGTTACTGAAGTTGTAAGTTAACACCAACTCTACCAATTGCAAGAGGAACATCTTCTTGAAAAAACCTGATAGAAGAAATAGCAAGGCATCAGGAAATGTACTTGAGAACCCAGTTCTACCCCAGTTCCACACTGAACGCTCCCCACCACGACTGAGTGACCCCTAGAGTTGAAAAGCCTGCCTCAGGGGCAGGGGCACAGGCCCCAGTCTCATTCCCAGTCCACATGAAGCCCGTATTCACCCATGCTGGTGCCTGAAGCTGGAGAATCCCTGATGCTCCAGAGCTTTCTGGCTCCACATATATAGCATGTAGACGCCTACGGGCTATTTTCTCCTAGGCCAATGATTTTCTTTGGTGTCATGCTCTTCCTTTATAGAATTCTGAATTGGTGATGTAAAAGAAAACAAAAATCATCAAATCTATGAAATTTCAACACTATTAAAATCACCAGGAATTTCCCTCACCTTCCTCTTTTTAACTTTGCCCCAACCCCACCTATGTGTCTGAATGTGCTTCACAAAATGGGTATCCACACTTTTCTCCTACAGGGAATTTCTATAACTGATACTTTTCGGGTTGGGGGTGAGGCTGCTGAAACCAGCAAACACTCTAAGGACTTAAAAACAAAGTCCAGGGATCATTTATATTCTTTGGGCATTCCTTTAGCCAGTTTCTTCCTCTTTGGCCAATGAGAAATACAAATGCTTTGGAAGGTGAGTGCAGCCTTAGGGTGGGATCACGCTCCCACCTGAAGGGATCCAACTGGTGACTGAAACTTAGAGCTGGGACAAAGAGGGAAATAAACCGGGAATAGGTCTGATGGGTATCCTACTCAGAAGCTCCTCAATTTCAGGAAAAACGCGCCCTCAGCTGGGGCAGGTGGTGCTGCTTAAGGGCTAAGGTCACGTTTCTAATAAATGCCAAGAACTTTTAAAACACTAAAATCCAGCGCCCAGGCCCTCTCGCAGCTCCATCTCTAGCTTTCCAGACCGCAGAGAACAAGCACATTGGCGGGTCCGCCGCGCGCGCGCGAGCTCGCAAGATGCTGTCCAGCGCGCAGCGCTCCTGGAGGCGCGCAGCTCCGGTTCCCTGAGCGCTGAGGCTTAGCCGCCAACCGAACAGTCTACACATCATTAGTCACCTCAACTTAAGTCCGGGCACCGGTTTTAGGGACAGGAGAAGCGGCAAGACGACGGGTCACGTGTTTGTACTCGCAGATTTTTTGTAAATCTAGAAAAAGTGTAACTGCAGCTGACTCAGGGAGAGCGCCAGAGAGCCAGAGCGAACCTAAGTGGAACAGCGCCAGCTCAAGGACTCCAGAAGGAAGGCAATCCTGAGGCCGCTGTTTGGAGGAGACACACTAGCCGCCACTTGGTCGCAGGGGAGCCTGCGCCACCGCTGCAGACACCCAGGGCACCCCACCACCCACCACACAACTTTTGGCTTGTCACAGCTTGCATCATCCCTTTCATAGAAACCTGCTAGGAGTCATCGTCTGAGCTGCTGAGGTTGGGCCCCCATGTGAACAGCTGCAAGTGTCATAGGGCCAGGGGTGACCCGGGATGAGATCAGATTGGCAAAAGAAGAGAACAGCCTCCGGTGGAGATGGAGTCTGAGGCAGACGTTCTTTTCCTCAGAAAGCATCCAACAGCTGTACCAGTGGACCCAGTTTTCTGATGTTAGGAACAGGGTTTGCACAGGACAGACATAAAACCCTTGACTCACCACTAGCTTCAGAGATAGGTTTTCTGGAACCCTTCAAATTTTTATTAGCCTTTTTAATGTCAATATTTTTTGGAATGCTGTATTCTCTCTTTATCTATTCCCGCCCCATCAGCAACTTCTCCATTTTGTGGGAGGATGCCAGAGGCTGAGTCATCCGTGACCTTCTCCTCGACAGCTGGACATTGGATAGGCAGTCAGGAGCTGGAGAACCAGTTCTTGGAGAACCAGTTCTGATTTTCGGATTTTTCTCCCTCCCAGCTGCGATATTTCCAGGAAATAAAGGAAAAATCATCGGGGTGTTTCTGCCACTTCATTTGTCTCCCCCTGTAGTGGTTTGATGTCGGGCCAAAATTTTTCTCCCTACTGGAACCTTCAGTCAGATACAGCTCTTGATTGCTGATAGAGAAAGCAATGGCAGAAACCAGCTCACTCTAAGGTTTGACTTGTGTTCTTCTCAAAGTATAACTAGGCTGCTCCCTGCCTCTGTTTCTCCTTTAAGACACTGGGCCTGTGACATGAGGCAGGCAGGTTGCCTTCTACTCAGACCCCGGAAGGCACCTCTTCGTCTGTTGAACACATGGGCAAAGAGCCCTGTGCTCTCCAGTTTTCTTTGTAATTGTATGATCTCTTAGATCAAGTCAATGGGAATGGTTTTTTGCTCAAAAGCTTTTGGTAAACTCACAATTGCTTTAAAATTTTGTCATCTTTTTTTTCCGCTGACTTCTGGATGCATTTTCCATCCATATCTCCTTCATTCTCCTTCATATCTCCTTGCCAACAGTAGCCGAGGTAACGTGCTCTAAATATGTCCTGAGCTTTCTTCTACCCATCCTCAGGTGCTGGATCGTGCCATGCAATGCTCATCTCCTGTGATGTTTTTCTCCAAAGGCAGTCTCTTACCTAAATGTGACCCCACTATCCTTGAAGGTATATTTATGTCGGGTTGCCCTTTGTGACACTCATACCCTATATTATGTTTTAACACTATTTTCTGATCTTAGCTTTTTATTAAATGGTGAGTTTTTTTTTTCTTTTTAATTTTTATTGGTACCGAGGATCGAACTCACAACCGCCTGCTTGCAAGGCAGGCACTTATGCCGCTGAGCTAAATCCCCAACCCCTAAATGGTGAGTTTTCTAAAAGCAAGAAGTATAATAATTATTTTGTTCAGTACTGACTTACTTTTCCCAAAAACATTTACATACATTAGTGCCAAAAGTTTTAAAAAATCAGTCAAGCTAACACAGAAATAGTATCAACGTTTAGGTGAATCAGGTGTACGGAAGACCATAAAAAAGTATTATGAAAAACTGGAGATTTAAGAGAATTGTGCTCAAAAATGAGTTTCAAGCTTTCAAACAACCGAAAGAAAGACTCTACACCATTTAAATTCATTAGGGAAAACTAATATTTCTTAGGCTTATGTTCTTCATTATAACAACAGGACTCTAGCTTATTATCAGCTACATGTAGTAGATAATAAATCCTCAATAGAATTGAAGCATGTGGAAATGTATTAAACTTCTCTGAAGATCACTGTCTGGAAGTAAATAATTATCTACTAAAAGGATTTTTCTGTAATAATTTCTTTTTTCCGGTTCTTTGTTGCTGTCTTGCTGGAATCCACCTATGCTTCCCTGTAGCCAACACCCAGGTGAGGGTATTTTTGTGTACATTCTTGACGAGGTGAAATTTCCTGTTTTACATTCTTTTCATGTGTTCAAATACTGAATGTGTGAAAAGTGTCTGCATGCATAGTTTGGAAAACCCTAGGTTGAATTAAGGATGGTGTGCCTTCCAGATGGTAGGAAATGGAAGTGAGATCATTTATATCATTCTGATTACTCAGGAAACTTGGGCAATACTTTCACACATCACATGGACCAGAAACTGTTCATGAATCTCTCCTCTCATTCGAAAGATCCATGTTCACTTAATTCTTTAATAGTTTTCTTATTTTATTTCCATTTTTCTTTTATTCCCCTATTCTTTCCCTCCCTCTTTTTTTTCTTTCTGCTGCTTCTCTAAATTGTCCTGAGTATTTAAAGTAGCCTATTCCTCATGCAAACGTTGGTTTGAATTTGAAGAGATAGATTCAAATTTCCAAGAAAAAGTCTGCTTTTTTTTTTGTACCTTGTTAAATCATAAAACATTGAACTGTAAATAGGGAGAAGAACAGACAGGTTATTGGTGAGATGGGCGAAATTCCCTAGGCAGTGAGGAAAACCCAATGACATCAATTTTAGCTTGGCAATGTTTTAAAACGTGTAATAATGGACTTTCCCCAGCAGAGGCATCTTCCTTTGGGACCTGGAAGTAAACCATATTAACTAGACCCTGTGGAATGTCTTGTAAGAACTATATGTACACATACACTACCATATATTCATACAGAAAGGAAAAGGCACACTTTGCGGAAGTGATTGCTGTTTCATTTTTTTATTTTTTACCTTGGTTTCTCATACTTTGGCATAGTAGTTGCACAATGGGAAGTGATCTGTGTGTAGTTTGTGATGACTGCAACAGGTATTTATTTTGTCAATTCTTTATATCACATGTTGATGCTCAAGCAGCTTTGCTATTGACCTGATTTGATTTAATTTAGCCAACTCCGTATTTTGCCCTAGATCCTTTGGGATATTGGTGGACTACAAAGTGAAGTGAGTTTCCTGTGGTCAATCATGAAAAGCATACATTTGTTGTATTTTATTATTTTATTTTCTTCCAAATCTGGTGCCTACATAATCAATTTATGGCTGAGAATTTTGGCAGATACGTTTGCTTTAGAGAATGAAGAAAACTTATTACATAGGTGTAAACTTAGTGTTTGTACTCATTCTTCTATAAAGAAATAGTGTTCCCCTTATCCAGTAGGGGGTAAAATAAGATCTTGCTTACTTTACTGTTTTATACAATATATTAGGACAGGGTTGGAATATAACTCAGCAGTGTAACTCCAGCCTTCCAAGCATGAGGTTATGCATTTGATTCCTCGTACCCTGAAAAATAAAAAACATACATATCTCTATATATCTGTATCTATATATTTATATATCTATATATAGGTATGTAAAATGAAAAGAATGCTTATCACGAAGAATATTTGAGTTAAACATACTTAGCATACTCTAAAAGAGCTGCAGAAGTGGTCAGAGGTGAAAGAATTACAATATGGATATTTTGCAAAGATATTTGTATAGCGGATACTGTCTGTTTTCTCTTCTATTGTCTGCTGTTCCTCATCTTGCTTTGCACCCTGGATTGCTGACCTATAAGGACTGCATTCACAGGATATTTTGACCTTCAGCTCTTGACGAGGGTCTGTCAGTGAGAAACGGTAAAGGCAAGAAAGAAGAGAAAAATGCGATTTTAATTTACCCACTCCGTCCTATTGGCTTACCACAGATTGGATGCTATTTTCTACTAAGGATTCTCATTAATTGATATTTTCACCTTGCCATATGTCAAGTTTTGGAAACCATTCCCTGCCTTTGTCTTTTTAGGCTTAGAATGATGAAAGTTCCTTACTATTG